TAATATATATTTGTTTTAAATCACAAAGTACTAAACATCTATTAACTGTATATGAACAGAATTTCAATGAAAAAGAGAAGTAAACACAGTTTTTACATTTCATTAATATTGATGCAGCTAATGAGGCACAGTTTGAAATTTTCCAATTTCTAAGCTGTAAATTGTCAGTTTGTATTTTACCTAGAATGGCCAGCACGGTGTTATCTTTCAGCACCTCCATGGAGCCCGAGCACACGAAGTAGATGGCCTGGAGGGCGTCTCCCTGGCGGATGAGGAACTCCCCTGGGGCGCAGAAGGAGGTCTTGATGATGAGGGAGAGGGAGCGCAGGCACCCCCTGCTGGCCGACTCGAAGAGCGGCAGCTGCAGTAGCTCCTTGTTCAGGTGCATGGCGATGTCGGCCCGCAGCTCATCCGGGAAGTCCTTCAGCAGCTGTGGAGAGGAAATGTGCGTTTGTTTGACTATGAATGCAAATTATGAGTCTCTATCTCTTTTAGTTTTTCTTTTCCTTCTGTATCGTTGTTTGACTGTGAGTGTGTGGGAAGGTGAAGGCAACAGGACGAAATAAAACCTTTCACCTTCCCACATAACAAACAGGTCCTCTCAGCGTTTAAAGTCTATCTCGAGTCAAACTTACTCGCATCTCACACATAAGAGCAAATTAAACAGCTCTCTGGGACATTATCCTCTGAACGACTCATGCAAGGGATAAACACATTTACCCAAAAACCATTAGTGCCTATCCAACAGCATGTTATCACTTTAAAAAATATTATCTGTTGCAGGCAAACTCACTGAGAGTGATTTTTGTGTCAATGAAGCCATTTCTCCATGAAATTAAGATTGCTGCCCCAGCATGATGGAAACCAAAACAAAAACCTAAATGCTCTCTGTGACTTTGGGCCGTTTCTTTAGTTTGCCTGGAGGGCAAACCAGCCGACTGGCACTTTCAGTTTTAGAACCATTTGATCCCATTGTAAGTGACAAGATCAATCCAATCCCTAGGTCACACAACCTTTTCAGAAAGTCCAGCATTCTCAGAAAGAAGCTTGTTTGCCATTTGGAGTCAGATAATATGAATTATCCTACCTCACTGACGTCAATACCATTGTTGACAGACCAGGTTGTCTGGAAACACTCCATCATGCGTTGCTCAAGAGCCTTGGGCAGCCTGTGCACACGGATGAAGTCCTTCAGGTCTTTGGTGCGGGTCTGGTAGAGGGAGCGGCGCGAGTACATCCTCTGAATGATGGCGGTCACGTTACCAAACACCACGGCGTGCATTAGTGCTGCAGAGGAGATGAACAAAGTTTCTGGGGGAATTGGAACATGTATCTACATTTCAAGGGGGATTTTCAGTAACTTGGTTTTGCAATGAGCTGTTGTTTGTTTTGAAAGAAATCAAAGATGCTAAAACAAGATGCTCTGCCCCTGTGCTCAGATTCGCCTTTGATTAAAAATTCATGACCCTCAAAATCCTTGTATTCTTTAATGACCCACAGCTACCAAGTTGTTCAATGTGTGTAAAAGATCCTAATAACAATGTGGAGTGTTACCTCCGATCAGCATGGTGCAAATGGAGAAGATCTTCTCAGAGTCTGTGTTGGCTGAAACGTTGCCAAAGCCCACGCTGGTCAGACTGCTCAAAGCAAAGTACAGTGATGTCACATAGGAGCTCCTGACGGACGGGCCGCCGCTGAGTGTCGTCCCCGAGCCGTTTGGCGTCCTTGCCCTGGCCCTGCTATCGTTCCACTGGCCCGAACCCAGCAAACCCACACCGCTGAGCTGCTCCAACCCGGAGCCGTTCCACTGGCTGTAGTTCGTCAGACCCGCCATCACGGTGCCCTGCAGCGAATCGGAGACCCCCAACAGGGAGGTCAGCGGTGCCAGAAAGTATGGCGTTCCCAAGCGTTTGGCAAGTTCATGGAGCCAGCCTGGTGGGGGGAAGATCAGGGGACAGTCCAAAATAGTTTGTCAGTTTAATGAGAATGCATCCATGCTTGTAAGATGACCTTTACTAGCAGGCTTCATTAGCTGCGGTAACAAGGCTGGAGGGACAGAGTAATTACTTCTGTGTTGGTGTTTGTGTATTTGGGAGTGGAGGCCAGATACACTGCATGCTCACATTTCAGATAATGTCAGCTACATTTACATTTATGCATTTATACATTTCATTTCATTATTCCGACCAGGCTCTTTGCAATGGACATAGATTAGTATTTATTTATGAGTATTTTACACTGTCTCATTTCATCTGCCTCTTTTGCACATGAGAGAATTGGTATGAAAAAAATATTTTTGGTGGATTATTTTATCTTTGTTACTGGCAGTGTTTCAAGAAATCTGTACACCTGTTCATTTTAGTCCAGAGAGATAAATGTTAAATAAAATGTATACATTTTCTGACGCCACCACTCTCTTCACTCCTCGTCTCTAGTCTAATAGATTAAAATCACTTGAACAGGATATATGCCACATGCACCTCACAGTATTGTTGTTGTTTGGCACCGGTGGGCACAGTAGGAGGGGGAGAACGGATCACCATAATTAGAAGTGTTTTCTCTGTAACATGACACACAAATATCACACGCTGAGTGTATAAGAGCTCTGGATCGATTCTAATGGAAAATGACAAAGATAATTTTTTCTTTTGTCTCCATTTTCAGGCCCAAACACTGTCGGCTTTTCCATTCTACCATTGTGATGCAACTCTAAAATTCTTTACCCCGTTAACATGTGAAATCAAACTGCATTTTTGCAATCAGACCATGCTTGACCACAAGTCAGTACAGGTGGAAATGCTCATGTTGTGATCCGCTCAGCCAAACCAAAATACCTCTGGCGGTGTAATTGCATTGTCAATCTGTGTACAACAACTACAGGGGCGGAAATTATAATCGGTGCAACTGTTCCAAACAGGGATGCAGCAGCTGGAAGTTAGCTGCTGCACCCTCTCAGACAAGTGTGGACAGAGTGGTTAGGAAAACATTTTGGGTGAGTAATTGAGTCGTAGCGGTAATCACGTGCAGCTTCAATTATATGAATTTACCCTGACAGAAGCTGTTCTTTTAAAACCCTCAGGAAGCGTGTTTGATACTACAGGGACACTTTTTAGATGAGGCATCATGCACATAGCAAAAGCAACCATTTGATTGTCCCCTCGAAAGATAAAATTGCTGATAACACGACACACACAGACACACAAACCTATATCCCAGGAGGTGGGGCTGTTGCTTTCAATCTCGCTGCGTCCGATGAAGTACCAGACGCAGGCCATCCAATGAGCGAGCAGGGCGAACGTGGACATGAGCAGCGTCAGGACCACGGCGCTGTACTGGGAGTAGCGGTCCAGCTTCTGCAGGAGGCGCAAGAGACGCAGGAGTCGCACCGTCTTCAGCAGGTGAACGCCAAAGTTCTGGGAGAGGAGTTATGGAGGTGAACAGATATTTTTAGAATTTAGATGGGATGAGTTCCTGTGAAATGAATAAGGAATCAATCTCTAATTTAATCTTAAACGGTTTCTCTACAAAGCCAGGGAAGGGGTGTAATTAGACATTACTTGATTACCCTGAGAATTTTAATTAGTCCTGATTGGAAGCTGTGATAGAGAAGAACCTGCTCCACAGTCTCAGCTCAAATGGGATGACTAAAATCCATAAAATCACATTTAAATCCAGATGAACTTAGAGAAGATAATCAGAGACAATCGCTGCCATTATCATCCAGAACTTGAAAAATGACTTTGTCCTAAATCTTCCGCTCATTGATTTCCTCCCATTAATTCTGTATTAACTGAGGATGCAATTCTCTGCTCTTCTAACCGTCCCTTAAGTGGCCTGTTAATGGAAGAGAGCTGTGCTTCTGACACGGCTGATGATGAATTACATCACACTCAGACAGGGTCTAATTCTCTGGATATGTGGGTATGCATCCATTCACGGAATAATTTCAGCACATAACACATGCTGAAAAATAGCTTTTCTCCAGTGTTACTTTCAGAGGTGCTGACAGACACAGTGGTTCCTGTTAATACTGTTGGACCACAACTCAGCAATATGCCAAATATTCCTCTCATACGTGCCGATAAGGCTGGTAACGTTTTTAGAAGCGATAATAGTGGTTAGGGGGGGACTGGATTAAAAACGTATGAAAGATGACATTATGAGGAATCATGGGAGGATTGATCCAAGCACTTATGAGGAAGTACAATAATGTTAAACATCACGGGAGCTGTAGTTTTTTGAACGTTAGCAAACATCCGTGTTTTAACAATTCAATTGTCTTGCACTCTTCCAGACTGCTCCCCTCTGCAGCACAGTGCTCACAGTGATAAGGCTCTACACCCCACATCATCTGGCCATTCTAGCCTCCACCTGTAATCTGCGTCAGCACACTCGTTTATCAGCTTAATTACCAGTTGACTAATAATGAGTTTCTTGTTGTAGCTTAGACTCCCTTCAAGCTACGGCAGCAAGTAATGAGCGCAGGAGGCTGGAAACATTCTGGTGGTGATTTTCTTTATTTTTGCTTGTTTGTTTGGAAGCCCAGTTCTGTCAATTAGATCCTGTACGTTCTTATCTCTAAACATTACAAGATTAGAAATAATGGCACATTAGAAATAATGGCACGTCACACACTACAGGATATTACAGATTAGTCAGTCAACACAACTAATCTTCAGGTGGAAGAGATTTAAATTGTCAGTTAAATATGTGGCACCAGTGACAGACGAGCTCGTTTTTATCTTTAGTTCAACTTGGAATTCTCGTGGGGCCTGATCAGGTTTACATCAGCCCGAACTTGCTGCAGTGGGAGCCCAGCATTATGATGATTTACTCAAAGTAATGACACATGAAACTCTCCGAGCCTATGTTTCTTCATATCTTATCTTATCCAACAGCAATGACAGTCGTCCACAGTCAAATTATTGAGAAAAAAACATTTATTATGTAGTTTTTTCATCATTGGTCAAAATGGGCTTCCATTTGCTCTCAGTTCGTTTTGCTGTATCTTTGTGGAATAATAAATAGTTATGTGTGTTCAGTGTACGTGTCTATTTGAAGGCTGCTTCATGGTCGAATTAAATCACTGGCGAGAGACGCAGGAGAGTGTTATTGATAAAAGAAAGTTTATTACCACTGGCAAGGCCCATTGAGCTTCTACCTCTGCATCACACATTAATGTCGAAATGCCACTTAAGGACACACAAGAGAGTTGTGTTTGTGTGTGTGTGAGGCTCACCACACTGATGTTGAAGGCGTAGAGCAGGTCGAAGGGCAAGGCAGCGATCAGATCCACAAACAGCCAGGAGGTGACGTAGTGAATGCAGATGGAGCGGGAATCGTACACGACCTGGCCGGACGTGCTCACGTAGGTGGTTCGGAAATTCAGCACAATATCTGACACACAGACACAAAACTTGATTCATAATTAGGTTCTATGAACTTCAGCAAGACCACCGGGCTGTGGGAAAACGTCAAAGGGGTTTACTGGAGTAAAAGTAGAGAAGTGTGAAAAAGAATATCCCCTTTAACAAGCTGTCTTTGAGTGGGATTAGTGGAGTTGTTTGCCGGAGGGCAGACAGCAGGTTGACATAGAAATATAAGTGGAGCTTGTTTGGGAGGGAGGTTAAGGGGAGTTGGACACTGTGGACGACGGCGCAGATGAAGGGATCAATTTAGAGACGAGGAGTGATCGAAGGAGCGGCCTCCTGATGAGGAATTGGCTTTAATGGTTGAGGATCAATGATATTAAAGTTAGAAAATAAAGGCAAGAATGTGAAAGCAGCCTCACCGATGATAAAGAGGATCTCCACCAAGATATCGCTCACACTTGGAGGGTTTCGCGCCGCCGAGCCGCCGTCCTCCCGTGCCTCCACAGCGGTGAAGCACACGTTGTAGGGAACGGTGACGGCCACATAGAAAGTGGCCAGCAGGATCAGCCAATCCCAGCCGGCCTTGAACGCTCCGTAGTGGAGCAGGATGAGACGGGACTTCTGGATGTCTGCCACCTTGTACTCAGGAACCGGGTTTGCGTTGGCTCCGAGAACACTCTGGGTGTACGGAAACACAAACACAAACACAAACACACACACACACACACACACACACAC